TGAAAGGAACTGGAACAAAGGACAGTAACCATGGGGGTGGGAGTGATTGCGTGACCCGGACTAGGAGGCTAGGCTGTAAAAGGGAGCATTCTGGAACACCTCTGAGGGTGAGGTTTTATCTGTATTCAGTTTTCTTACTGTATTAGGCATAGACTTGCGTGTTCTATTTTATTTTGCTTGGTAATTCACTTTGTTCTGTCGCCTATTACTTGGAACCACTTAAATCCTACTTTCTGTATTTAATAAAATCACTTTTTACTTATTAATTAGCTCAGAGTATGTGTTAATACTTGGGGGGCAAACAGCTGTGCATATCTCTCTATCAGTGTTATAGAGGGCGAACTATTTATGAGTTTACCCTGCATAAGCTTTGGGTAGAACAGATTTATTTGGGCTTAGACCCCATTGGGAGTTGGGCATCTGAGTATTAAAGACAAGCACACTTCTGTTAGCTGCTTTCAGTTAAGTCTGCAGCTTTGGGGCATGTGGTTCAGACTCTGGGTCTGTGTTGGAGCAGACGGGCGTGTCTGGCTCAGCAAGACAGGGTGCTGGGGGTCCCAGGCTGGCAGGGAAAGCAGGGGCAGAAGTAGTCTTGGCACATCAGTTGGCAGCTCCCAAGGGGGTTTCTGTGATCCAACCCATCACACCTGGCTCACGGCACCTCCCCGTGAGATGCGGTGCCCTCCCCGCGCTCCCCCACCCGCCAGGGGGTGCAGGACGGAGGCGCAGGGCTGCCTGGGGTCGCTGGGCCTGGCCCTTTACAGTGTATTTTGTCAGGCAGAATTACAGTCTGGCTCTGTCCCCAGCCTGGGGCCTGCGGAGTGTGTGTGTGTGTGTGTGTGTGTGTGTGTGTAGGAAAAGCTGGGGGAGGGGGTCAGAGGGTGCCGGATGTGACGAAGTGGGGGGTTGTCTTGTTTTCTGAGGGGTTTCAATGGTTTGCATGCGGAGGGGATGGGACTCAGTTTCCCTGGGTGTTACTGGTTTAACGAGGTGAGGGGAGAGGGAGTCTGTTGTTACAGAGGACCGGAGAGAGAACTTGGGGACCCAGCCAATGGCCTGGAGGATGGATACCCCAGCGACCGGTGACCTGGTGACCTGGTGACCCAGAGGCCCAGCTGAGGAGACGCAGCCGGTTCTGGCCAGTGGGAGGACAATGGGCTGCAGAGTGAGGACCCAGTGACCTAACCAGCCGGTTCCAGCCAGAGGACAGACGCGAGAAGAGGAGGCCCTGTTTACCTGGAGAGAAGACAATGGACAGAGGAGGGGCTTGGGGCCGGGGGTATCAGATGCCCAGCTGGGAGCAGGGGGGCTCTGGGCTGGAGAGGGGGAGCAGGCAGAGCCCACCTGGATGCAGGGAGACTGGGATGTGCTGGGCTGAGGGAGGCCAGGCCTGAGGGTCAGAGAGTTTCCTGTGCTGGGTTCAACTCTCAATAAATCCTCCTGTTTTACGCTGGCTGAGAGTCACTCCGGGCTAGAGAACAGGGTTGCATCAACCCCTTCAGGGGTGGAGGCCCGGGGGGTCCAGAGCGAGGGGACTCCCTGAGGGGGCCCACGGCAGAGACAGACGTGCTAAGGTTCAGAGAGGTGCGGCTCCGGGAGGTGGAGAGGCCTGACCCCGAGAGAGAGTGGACCCCTGAGAAGGGC